GCTTGAAAACCGGAGTTCACTTTAATCTGCCTCCAGCAGGACACAAGAACAGCTGAGCGCTTGACACGGTGACCCTCCCATTACGGCTGCCAGCCTCTGAATTCATCAGCTGTAAGAACTTTAAAACGTGTGCCAGGACTGTGAAATCTTCTTTAAGGCCCCTTAAGCCTGGCTGAGGGAATCCCTGCAGAACTCTGGTGGCTGCAGCCCACAAATTCCGACCACTGCCCGTATCCTCCCCCAGTTCCAGATGCGAGTCCAGCTATGGTCTGGCTGGGTGACCCATGGCTGCTCCGGCCCTCTTGCCTTCTGACCAGAAAGGTCTCTTAATCCCAGGTTATCCATGCACTGAGTTTTACGGCTTCTTCCTGGCTGCCGTCTGACCCTCGATCCATGCCTCTCCTGTGGTGGTTTGCAGATTCTGGTGTCCTACAAGCGCATCGAAGCTCTGCAGAAGCTCCCGCCGTGGCCGCAGGTCAGCCTCTCCACCAGCTCCTCACAGAACTCCGTGGCAAAAGCCGAGGGGACGCCCAAGAGCAGCAGCTACAGTGACCTGGACCGAAAAATTCTCCAGTTATGTGGTAAGGGGGGGGGGTCACTGAGCAACCGCTTACTGTGGGGAACTGGGAAGAGGGCATCAAGCAACCTCATACAGAGGGTGCAGACATGAACCACCAAATGCCGGAATGTTCCTGGAGAAGCAAAAGATGGGGGTTCAGGGGGAGCTTTAGACACATCTCAAGGTGGTTGACAAAAACATTCTCTTGCCTGTATGTAAGTCAGAGGCACATGATTTGTGTCCCCGTTGCCATCTCTGATGGAACAGGTTGTGAGGTTTTGTGAAATATGAAAACCTGCCACACCTGTTTAGCAGAGGCAAACAAGAGATACGTTGAGAGCACTAGATATGAGTGGACTTTTCTACTCACATCCACAAACTCCTGAAGATCAGAGATGAGGAAGATTTGGTTTCTGGGCCCACCTCCAGGGACCCCGCCATTGGCGTGGCAACTGGGAATTGTAGTCAGGAAGATAAACATTGCTCACCTCTTCTTTGAACCCTCCTTTGGTTCTGCTTTGATTTGGATTCCTGCCTTGAGAAAGGGGTTGGACTAGATGGCCTTAGAGGCCCCATCCAGCTCCATCGCTTTAGGATTCTGTGATCCCAATGAAACTTCATTGCTCCTCAGGTTGGAATATGTGTGGGGTCCCTGTGTTAAGTCCAGGGCTTTGTCCCAGAAAGGACCACCAGAGTCACAGCCTTTTCTTGCGAAAGAGAAGAACCCAGAGGAGGAGAACATCATAGTTGCAAAAGGACTACCACCGGTCTGATTTTTTGGCCAGGGTGCTCCCAGGCTTCAGAAATAATGAAGAGGAGGTGACCATCCTTGGAACAACTTGGAATTAAAGAATTTGGCATCAGCTGGAGAGCAGCCCTGCCCCGTTGGAAAGGAAAGGGTGTCAAATTAAGACATTCGTTTTCCTATTGCCCAATTTTCCACAATCTGGAGAGGTTTGGGGAGATGTTCCTTTGGTTTCTTTACTTCTGAAACCACAGCATCGTAGTTTCATAACGGGCCGTTTGTGCTGTGGGTGGGTGGGGTAAACGGCCCACGCAGCTCACAGGGCGGTCTTGCAGGGGGAGAAAAGGAAATCAAAGTTTTGTGTTCTCATGTATGATGTATGCCTTCCTTTGGATGCTGGCCCTGAACTGCGGGATCAGTAATGTCTAGCCCGCCTCTCTTCCACAAGAGAGGGAGGGAGAACCTCTCCCCTCTGAGGTTGCGTTCTTCTCTCGTATGAAAAGAAGACGCAACGTGGGTTTGCCTCCCATGCTTCGGCCTCCCGGGATCCCACCACTAGCATCGTCATGCTGGGCTGTGGGATTATGCAGGCTCTCGTCCAAAAGAGAGGAAAGTTCCAAAGCTCCGAGCCCTTGGCTAAGGAAGGCAACCTCCCTCCACCACCCTTGGTCTTGAACGGTCAGGTTTCAGTGGCTCTGGTGTCAGCATGGCCTAGAGCTGGCCGCGACGACTAGCCACCGCAGGCCTTGGGTGGGTCTCCTCTGTTCCCGAACCTGTCCCAGCGAGTGGCTCTCCGTGCGCTCTGTGGCAAGACCCACCACATGCTTGGTCTGTTGCTTTTCCAGGGGAGCTCTACGACCTGGACGCTGCCTCACTCCAGCTCAAAGTCATTAACTACGTGAGTATTTCGGACCGTCGTCCTTCCGTCGATCTGCCCTGGGTGTCTTTCCTGCATAAGCTTCCCCTTGAGTTTTGACTCTTTCCCTTAAGACCGGTGAGGTGGAGCGTGGCTGCCTGGAACAGGGCAGAAAGAGGCTCTCTAGCCGAGATGTCATTTAAAGCTTCTGCCTGCCTTCCTGCCCCCCCTCCCAGGAGTCCTGTCTCACTCCTGGACTTTTGCATTAAAGTATTTTCGTTTGCTGCAAACCTGCAGGATACAGGTTTGTATTGCTGAATACAATAACCGAATTATCCTAGCCTGGTCATACTAAACAAGGTCGCTGTGAGACGTGGTCTGTCGCCTGTGGGAATCCTCGCCTCCCTGCTTGCAAGGGGGATCAGTCACACTCCACCTCAAGCAATCCTGTCAGCACCATCGAGGCTTCTTTCCCTTTAAAGGTAGAGGAGACATCCCGTTTCTTGGCAAGCAGCGTCAGCAAATCATGGAGGAGAAAGCCGGTGATGATCTTGAGAAAAAGAAAACTTCCTTGCCACCGACCTAGGGAGGGGAAGGGAAAGGAAGTTTTCCATTTCTTTTTTTATTATTCTTGCAAAATGACACCTCCTATCAGCTTTTTAAAAAGCCCTTTCATAGAATCATAGAAGAGTGCATCTGGAAGGGGCCTAACTACGAGGCCATCCAGTCCAACCCCCTGTGCTCAAGGCAGGAATACCAATCAAAGGAGATCCACCAGGGGATGATCCATGTTTTTCTTGAAGGTCTCCAGTGCTCCACTCTCAAAGCCTTGCCAATGCATTAGCAACAATTAAAAAGAGATGTAAAACTGCACGTCTCCAGTGCTCCAGCGTCGGAGGCCTTCAGCCGAACATTTTACAACAATCTGCCAGATCGGTTTTGATTGGGATCCTTGCCTTGAGCTGGATTGGTCCGGCTGGATGGCCTTGCAGGCCCCTTCTGGCTCCATCCCTGTAGGATTCTTTGATTCTGTGATCCTTTGAGGAGAGGCGTGGATAACAACAAACGATAGTGGCACACCCCTCCCCTGCAGGATGCCCAGTTGCCGTGCGCTATGCTTTCATGCGCGCACACACGCCGATAGTGAAAGAGGAGAACCGGGAAAGCTCGTTGTGGGACGCATGTGAAATCTAGCTGAAGGAAGGGCCTGCTGCTTCCTGACTCCAGTGTCTCTAATGGCAAAATTGTGCTTCTCTTCCTTTCCGATGATAAAAAGCCGTTTACGAGCCCATCGCTGTCCTGTTAACAAGAGAGGTGTTTGTAAACAGCTGGCCCGGATCCTTTTCCAAGTGCAGGAAATAGGGGGGGCATAAAAGCAACCAGCTGGACGGAAGCCCCGTGCCAACGTTTGCAGGCTGACATCTTTGCCATCTGCTGAGTGCCACGTAAAGCTTTTTTATGGCTTCCTTTTTTAAAAGCCTCATAAAATTTCCCAGTCCTTCGGTGGACCTGTGTTCATAGGCAGCTGGGCTGCACGTATATGCATGTCTAGATAGGCAGCGTGCTTGCACTCTGTTCTTCATGGCGAAAGCAATTGAAAGAAGAAGGCGATTAAAGTCAGATCACTCTTTCAGCAGCTGCTTTGACCAGCGTCAGGCTTTTGCAGAAAATGGGCGGTGGTGGAAAACTCCGGCTAGTACCTGGAGGGGTGTGACTGAGTCGATTCTGACACAGAGAGTCAGCAAAGTTCCCTGTGACCGTAAAATGTCTCGACTCTGACCTGGGTCTTTGTTTTGAGGAACCAGACCGGGTGAGAACCTCCAGGCGGCTCTCATTTCCATTTGCCGAGCAAACAGGATTGAGGGTAGGGTTTGGACCGACTTCATTTGGAAAATATATTTCAGGAGAAATACACTTATTTCTTTCTTATTTGGCTAGTAAAATATTTTTTTTCCTGCCTTTCTCTTTTAAAAGGACACCAGGAAGTGTGCGTCATTAAAAATGCAATATTAAAAGCTAAGAAGAGTACATTTTTCAAATGTTAAAAGAGGAATTAATAACAATGCATTTTAAATGTTAGGGAGGAAAGAATCACAGACACAAAAAGAGATTTATAAGCAACACAATAGAAATAAAATATAAATTGAATGTACACATGCCTTCGCAGCGGCCTAGTTTCTGTTGCCACCTCCCTTTCCCCTTTTGTAACACTTTGGAAAACGGTAAGGAAACGACCTCAGGAACTTAGTTTGTTCCTAAGCATATCATCAAAAGAGGGAGACGAGAAAAGAAAAGAGACGGATGGACTCCCTAAAGGGAACCTTGAATTGGCAAGACCTGAATGGGGCTGGATGCGAGGAGATATTTTGGAGGTGGCGCTGCGGGCTAAACCGCAGAAGCCTCTGTGCTGCACGGTCAGAAGCCCTGCAGTTGTAAGATCGAATCCATGCAATGGAGTGAGCTCTCGTCGCTTGTCCCAGCTCCCGCCAACCTAGCGGTTCGAAAGCATGCAAATGCGAGTAGATAAATAGGAACCACCTCGGTGGGAAGGTAACAGCATTCCGTGTCTAAGTCGCACTGGCCATGTGACCACGGAAGATTGTCTTCGGACAAAACGCTGGCTCTATGGCTTGGAAACGGGGGTGAGCACCGCCCCCTAGAGTCGAACACGACTGGACAAAAACTGTCAAGGGGAACCTTTACCTTTACCTCCTTCTTAGGATTGCCCTGAAGCACACACACACACAAAATAATAATAATCAGGGCTGCTTAGATCACAGCTAATGAATGCATTTGTGGACTTTAAAGTTCCAAGTCCAGCACTTCTTGTAATGGGGACAGTCTTAACCTCAAGGTGCTGTTGTGGTTCTCAAGCTTTGCCCTTGTTTTATTTCATGAGCTTCCAGACCTCCCAAAATTCTGGATTTATTATTTTTTTTTGTACTGGTTTTTCTAGAGTAGAGTTTAGAACTAGGATGCCTAGGGACACTAAAACGGCAGGGAAGCTCCCTCTGATTCTCCTCTTCAAGCCTTCCAAGATTGGTGAAGTTTGGATTTCGGACATCTGAGTTACACACCCACAGAGAAAGCACCCCCCAGGAAAAAATTTTCCCAGGGCCCCTAGAGACACCAAAATGGCAGAGAAGCTTCCACTGGCTCTCCTCTACCATTCCTCCAAGTTTGGTAAAGATTGGGTCTTGGACACGTGAGTGATACACCCACCAATGGGGTCCCCCAAGGAAATTGCCCGTTCGCAGCTGGCTTGGGGAAAACCAATCTTGACCAAACTTGGAGGAATGGTAGAGGGGAGTTGGTGGAAGCTTCTCTGCCATTTTGGTGTCTCTAGGTGCTGGCGGAGGGGCATTTTATGGCTCAGCAAATCAAAACTAGCTAAACATTCATCTGCATTTGTCAGGGGGCAGCAGTCGCTACGAATACGAATCGACGAATTAGAGATTTTTTTTAAAAAAGCACATTTTGTGATTTGTTTTTTAATTCGTGCCAATCTCGACTTTCAACCCAACTTCCTCAAAATGTTTCCACTCGGGATCCTGAACAGACTAGCCCCCAAATGGACCGAGATTATGCAAAACAAGTCCA